GGAGGCCAATGTTCAGCTTTTTGCAAATTACTGACGCAAATTACTGCAAAGTCTGGATTTCGCGCTTCTTTTAGTTCAAGAACTTATTAGATCCTATGCACCGTTTTTGAGAAATGATGATTTCCCTAAGAGAAGAGTTAAAGGTGGAATCCATAGAATTTATTGAAAAGAAACAACTTAGCTGGTGGGGTCATTTACAGATATTGGGCAGCACTGTACCGGTTAAAAGAGTTTGGCAGAGAAAAAATGCGTGGAAAACGGAAAAAAGGAAGACCCAGAGAAATGTGGGACAGCACATTGGGAAAGATTTTGAAAAAGAGGGGACGAACATGGGTAGAAGCTAAAAACTTGGCACTAAATAAAAAAAACTGGAAATTTTTAAATTATTTTTTTTTAAATACTTCCGAATCCCTCCCCCCCTGTTTCAATAGGCTTCATTAGGGAGCCAAGATCCATCCGCTTGTCAAATTTCAAGTCAAGAAAATCTAAAAAAAAGATAGTCACCGAGGTCCGATCGCGGTCATTTTTCATGGGTTTATGTGTCTCGACAAAGAAACGGAGAACGAAGAATAGAAAATTAAAAAAAAATCGACGCTAATCATTTCTGTCCCCTAGGACCAACCGTTGTCGAGATATGTTTCGTTGCCAAGCGTGTATACTTCCGAAAAATTCGATTTTATCGATTTTTTGAAAGTAATAACAGCCGTATCCAGCAAGTAATCCCCTACCTGCGTGTATTTATTGGTAAAGATTTACCAGAGAATATCATTTGGATAGTACACTCGTAGCGCCAATAACATTGGATTACAATACATGGAACACCCAACTTCGTACTATATTATACACCTCTCCCCTAATGCATCTGTCTAGCATCGTTAGGATTATATCTCCAGGACTTGCCAAAAAATTAAAAAAATAGACAGGTGTGGTGCCAAAATGTACTTTTTCTACTCGCTGTCCTGAAATAACCAATTGCACTGATCATTTGTGCGCAAGGTATCATCAACATGCTGCATTCACCCGCCTTGTTTTATGAGGGAGCGCCTGCAGAAATTCCATACAATTGTTTGTTAGATATTCGGAAGGTGCGAAAATATCTCTCAATCTTATTTGATTGCCTCAAACTGGAACATATTTGTTGGCTACATGTGATTTACAACAACCCTGGTATTTGTTCGATAAGGTGGTTATAAGTTCTGATACACATGAGAGATCTACGTGGTAAAAAGATCTCCTATCCATCCCGAAACACAGAACAGCCATGTTTCAGAGATCTTTAGTTACAATGAGGGAAAATTAAAGAATGTAAATTCATAAATATATGGATTATATATGTTTTTTTTTTAATAATATTATCCTGACATATTTTTCTGAAGCCTGTGTTTTTATTTAATATTACATTTTTTCAGAATTGTGTTTGTAGTTTTTATACGGCTTGCTAATTTTTATTTATCTTGTTATTTTGGTTTAAAATTAATTTGTCTTTTTAAATTGGCAGAAAATTTGTGGCATAGTACACTATTACTTTCTCTATTGTCAGTCCCTAATTTTTTCCTTCTTTGTTTCATAGAAACAATTTAAAAATTGACTCTCAAGAAGGATAACCTCCAGCTATTCTGGAAATTTCCTCTGTGGTCTAATTTGAAAAAATGCGTAAATTCGCATCTTCATAAGCATTGTCACAATTTTATTTTCTGTGGTTCTATGGCAATTTTTACGAATTCTAATAGAAAAAACCTCTAACTTTCTCTGAGAATTCGTAAAAATTGCCGAGATCCTACGTACTCTTTTTCCAAAATGAATTCAAAAACTCTACATAAACATATACGATGTACGCGGCGTACTATTCACACACTGCGTTTAATTAAAAACCTGCCTTATTATTAATTATTATTATTATTAATATATGTTGTATATTGATCAATCAAAACTCACCAGCAACGAAGTTTTTCTTATGGTTTATAGTAACGGAATCTGAAACATATTGTGTTAAACAGATAAGTAAGATGTAATCTGAACAAAACCTCGAACATTTTTGGTTACTCAAATCGCCGCGGGTGTATTTTGTATTGTGTAGAGGTTATAGATTGACTAAGCTCGAAGAGCGCTTCATTAAACCCGCGAGTGATGGATATGACTACAGGATTACTTAGCGGCAAATAATACATCCGCTACTGTACGGCGACGCCATTTATAAACGTCATAATCATTCTTCTTCCACAACAATGGCACAATGAGATTGAAATTTTCTCCGTTCTAAAAATACTTGCACCGAAAGAAGAAAAAAAAACGTTTCAAAGGAAGGTGCCCACTGATTTTCAATTTGCCCCCCCGTTTAAGTGTGTACCGAAGGAAAACATTTCTTTGTGAGGGCCGCCTTTTATATTCGTCCGTAAATTCAATACTCGGCGTAACAACAAAAGCGAAAAAACTGCAGAAAATTTATATAGATTCTTTTGACAGCCGATATACACAGAATCTATATATCATACAGAAAATAATGGCCCATATGTGTTACTAGGGCGGCGGTACATAAAAAAAAACACTCCCGTGCGTGCGTTGTACCTATTCAATTTATTTTTTCCCATTAAAATTGGCCTTTAAAGTGGACATAATCGATTTCCGTGTGAAATTTCACTCACACCCTGTGTGGCAGCAGCGATAACCCAAAAATACAGCCTTAAAAAGCATATGCAATTAATAAAAAATATATTTAAAGAAGCAAGTAAGAAAGCTTTCACATTTTGCAAACATAGAAGTATGTTGTAATATGGTCACTATACTTACCTAACCTAGTGATGTAAAGGAAGAACGGCTATGATGTCGTCTAGGAGACAAAAATGTGCTATATATTGCAACTGTGGTTTCCTTTTCCAAGGATCAATTAAAATACAATTACAATGAGCACATCAATTATTCCATGTCTCATTATATTCTTTTCTGCAACCGTACCAAGCTGCTTATACCTTTCGAACATGACAAAAGTAAGAGAATACCGATATAATTGGAATACGTATTTTATCTTCTTGTTGTGTCCGTTACAGACCAAAAACTAAAAATTATCCTTATCAGTAACAAATTGTTGCAAACAGGCAATTGGGTTAGAAAGATTCATCTATTGTACTTGGTGAATCAACGATAGAGTTTAACTCATTATCTCATCAAAAGTTGTATAGATTATTGAGATGCATAATTTAAAATTATTTTTAGTGTACAGGGTGGGTCAAAAAAGCATTTCGAATAAAACATACATTTTTTAAACTAGAACACTCTATTTTTTTTTAATTCGTTTTGATATTCCACAACGTTTTTTATACATAATAATACACACCCAAATGTAATAGCTTTTCCAATAATATGTTTTTTGTAGAAAAATACTATTTTTTACACTGAGCATGCATTGCGCCATAATAATAATTAAAAATAACAAAAGTTAATTCACAGCAATAGGTATTTAATATTATTAATAAATTTCATCGTTATTTTCACTAAAATTGCTAATAAGTGTTTCTTTGTCTATGGCTCCAACAAAGTTTTTTCTCCCTTTCATTTTTTAATCATAACATAGCCCTGTTGGCTAATATTTTTATCATAGTCAACTAAAGCTATAGCAATAGTCTCAAACGTAAAGAAGAGTAAATATTGGAAAAATTAAAATAAATCGCAAATTATTAAAAACAGGTATATGACATACCCACACCCTGTGTGGCGGCAGCAATGGCATATACAATTAATAAAAAATATATTTGAAGAAGCAAGTAATAAAGCTTTCATATTTTAATATACTTACCTAAGCTAGTGATGTAAAGGAAGAACGGCTATGATGTCATCTAGGAGACAAAAAGGTGCTATATATTGCAATAATGCAAAAAAAAAATGGAACAAAGAATTTGCATAATAATTTGCAAGCACTTGAAATGTTGACAACGCCATATGGTGAACCTCCTTTGAGCAAAAAAAATTACGCCGATGACGACCTCGCTCTGGACGCCCCAGCACGTCCATAACTGATGAAAGCGTTAAAGAAATGGTGTTGAAAAATCGTTGAATCACTATTAGAGAAGTAGTTGAAGACGCCGGCATCTCTGGTGGCTCATGCCATTCAATTTTTTCTGAAATTTTGGACATGAAACGTGTACCAGCAAAATTTGTTCCGAAACTTCTTAATTTCGAACAAAAGGACCGTCGAAGTTGCATAGCTCAAGAGCTAGTAAACGATGTCAGTGATGCCCAAAAAGGTCATAACTGGTGACGAATCATGGATATATGGTTATGATGTCGAAACCAAAGCCCAGTTGTCCCAATGGAAGAACCCACAATCGCCATGACCGAAAAAACCATGTCCAATTTGATCAGATGTCTAGGTTTACTTACTATAAAAATAATAAAAATAAAAAAATTAATACTTTTTTCAGTTAAAATGATCCAAATACATGTCTTTTACATCATAACGCTAATATCAAATATAATGATTTACGTTTAAAAATAATGGAGCAATCGTAATTTTTTTCCCAGCATCAAAACTAGTAAAATTAAAATAGCGGAAAAACATTGAAAAAAATTGAAGATTGTCAAAACGAATTTAAAACAAAAGTGAAAAATAGGGTGTTAATAATTTTAAATTTTCTCTTTTGAAACCAATGATATAATAAACTTTACTAAATCCTTGACTCACTCTGTACAGGGTGCCCGAGATATGCGACGAAAGACCAGATCAAATGGAGCCATTTGCCTAATATGATGTACCTTCGCTATTTTGAGACCTACAATTTTAGTCTTTAACATTTGTTCGCGTTTGTACAAGTGTGCAAGCAAAATCGTTAAATAGAAAAGCAGTTCATTTTTATCGAAGGATTCTCCCAATTGCGTTCCCGCACGCACAGCGTCTATTGTAGAGGGCGTGCGAGATATTTTAAAATAAAATTACGTGCTGGAAACTGTCATTGCTACTGAGTACTGAAATCTTTACAGTAGCACTTACAACTCCTGTCTTTTTCCAGGTCGCGTGGCTCAGGGTAGATACCCAGACGATCCTGACAATTCACAGTCATGTCATAACGAAAAATCACCGCATAGGTGTAACGCATAGCGAGTTGAAGACGTGGTATCTGCATATCAAAGACGTGAGACATTCGGACAAGGGCTGGTACATGTGTCAAATCAACACCGATCCAATGAAGAGCCAAGTCGGCTATTTGGACGTAGTGGGTAGGTAATATCGTATTCAAGCTGCGACTTCAGATAAACAGATTCACATACGACTGGTTCCGGAGATTAGTTATTGACGTTGCTCCGTACTTGACGTGCGTATTGATTTAAGCAGCCGACGCGTGTAAACAATGGGCTGATTCGAGTATACATGCTCTAATATGATTGTGTTGTCTTTGAAAAATACCCTCGCAGTGAGTTTCCTCGATAACATCGTTTCAGTCGCCGTTCGTAGGGATCAAATTACGCAAATATGGTCTAAGCAACATCTTATTTTTCCATAAAGCTGCAATATGTTACTGTGAAATATTGCGCTTATTGTCAGTGACAACTCCTTGGATTGTTTTGTATACAGACATTTGATTATTTTTATATAAAGGAGGATAGATATATAAATAAAATTCGCAAGCCAATATCCAGCACTTAATTACGAAAGCTCCGGGAAGTGATTTGAGGACTGTGCAGAAGATGTTAAGAAAGGTACCCAAAGTAAGTAAAAAATTTAAGTGAACCTTTTTTTTTCAGTTAGAAGTGGTTTCCTATATGCCATACCTATATACCTAAAGTTTTGGAAAATGTGCTGTAATTGAATTACAAATACCTTATAGGTAATATTATTGGTGCCAGAAATATCTTGAAATGTTTATGAAACTACCTAGTGTGCTAGTGACTTAGGTGTTTCAGTAATGTAGACGCGTTTTCATAGCACTGCTTTGGGAACCCGCGGCAAACGGTAATAATTTTCCTTTTGCAGTCAAAATATCGGATACTATTCAGGGTCTACAAAGAAAGATACTTGTCGTCAACTTGCAATAGATAATATAATAATAATAAAACGTGAGACCAAAAGTGGTGAATCCAAAGAATGGCATAAAGAGGTGGATTGAGGAGATACGGAAGTTCTTCGAGGATAATAAAATAAATAATAAAAATTATGGCGAAATTCCCAGCACTTTTGAAAACTCCCCCGTATTTACACAAGTTTGGTGCATATCACATATTAAGAATGTACCTGACTATTTTCTAAACTAAACAAAACATCTAATATTACAGAAGAAACTGTCGTCGCACTAATATTGAAATTTTTGAACGTTGTATGAGACACACAAAAACAAAAAAAATCCTTAACATAAATATTTTCAAAAAATGACTTTGGTAAATATTTTTAATACCTACTCAAAAACGGAATGGGGATGAATAGCATTTTCAATGCATCTAGGGATTAAGTTTATTAATTAAAGAATATATGAAGATGGAATCGTAGGCAATTGAACCACCTACATCAAATTCAGAAACCACACAGACACATCCATAGCACAATAATTGTAGGAAAATCTAGTATCTTAAAACATAAAACTTCTTTTCCTCCTTTTGGCCAAAATGCTGGAATGAACTTCCGTCAAATGCAACTCAAATGCCAAAGATTAAAAATAAATTATTAGACGAACGATTGCTGTAAAAAAATTCCTTTGTGTACCCACAGGAGTTAAATTATTGAAAAATAGCAAATATTTGTAATTTGAAATTCTGCCGGATGCACCTTGGTCTTTCTTGCATCCTTGGATTCAATTTTTTCTTTTCCTAAAATCGTGTGTGCTGATAAAGTCGCTTCACTGTTTACTTTTGGGTGTTTTTTTTTGCTTGTCTTCTTTAATTATTGAATTTTTGCAAATGCAAATAAGAAAAAGTTATCGTGATAAGCAAAATAAGACATAGAAGGCCGCCTGAAAAAAGGAAAGATAAAAGTACTAGACCTGTTCATTTAATGCGGAACTTAAAGGATGTGAGGGAAAGTGTTCGAGAGAAAATTGATCAAAATATAAGCAATAACGCAACTGTTGACGAAAAATGAATGGAATTTTAAAGTACAATATCAGAGGATGCACAGATTTTGCAAAAACAAAAGGTATGCGACGGGTGGTATGACGACGAGTGTAACGAGCATGCAAAGTTACAGTGGATTGGCTAGCACGCAGAACAGAATAAGAGGAGTTACGGGGCTAGCAGAAGAGAGGTAAAGAAACAATGCAGAAGCAAGAAAAGAGATAACGAAAGGAATTGAACAATTAGAAAAAAACTTCATCATGAAAGAAACGAGGGAAAAATAAAAAAAATATATTATTCTGCAAAGACCAACAAGGGCAGTTAGTAGGTGACATCGATGACAATCTCCGAAAGTGGGCAGTATACTTTAAAGAGGTATTGGAGGCGAAGAAGCATTCAGAGCAGAATATTAGAGATGAAATTGTATCAATAGTGACTGATAGTAGAAACATTAATGAATCTCCAAGTAAGGAAGAAAGTATTTCAATTATCAAGATTTTAGAAAATAATAAAGCTCCCAGAGAGAATGGGATCAGAGCTGAAATGTTAAAGGTTGGTGGAAATAAGCTTAATATAACGTGATTGAAGTAATATGTAGGGAAGGAAAAATGCACTTGAGATGGAGAGAATCAATTATCTGCCCAATATTACAGAGGCATAACACTAATGGATATTGTATACAAAGTTATGAAATAAGTCATCAACAATAGATCAAATGAGGAAGTAGAGAAAGGAATAGGCCAGTATCAGTGTGGCTTCCGACAATACTAAAACGAATTTTAGATAATAGCCTGGACCATATACTCCCTATATATATGCTGTTTATTGCTTTTAGAAAATCCTATGATACAGCTAAAAGAAAATGAATCTATGGCGAAATTGGGAGTATCAAATAAAATTGTTAATTTAACAAAAATGATTTTAACAAGAACGGTCTATGAGGTAATGATAGAAGAAAAAACATTCCTGGTGAATGGGTTAAGATAAAGCGATCCTCTGTCGACATCATTATTTAACATAATATTGGAAACAGTGGTTAGGAAAAGTGCTTTAAAAACGAGATGTAAGTAACATATTTAACCAAAGAACCCAAATTATTGTTTGCGCAGATGATATTGTGATCTTGGCCAAAACAAGGGACAAAACTTAGCTAAAGACACTGGTTTCAAAATTAATAAACTAAAAACAAAATATGTGACACTAGGAGAAGAAGGGTTTAGTGGCCACAATAGGCACCTAAAGTATATAAAAAAGAATACCGAATATTGTTTTCGAAAAGTATTAAAATTTAATTCTTAAGGGCAGCTATCATCAGATTGTGAGGAAAAGCATGAATTTTAAGAAAGGATAGGAAAAGCTAAGAAATGTATGAGGGGTTACATCGCATATTAAGAGCAAGGAGCGTGTCAAGGAGTCTCAAAAAAAGAGTGTACAAAACGATGGTTAGGGCTGTCTTGTATCGATGTGAAGCATGGAAGCTCATCAGAAGGGAGACCGAAGCATTTCAAAGATTTGAAAAGATATTGAATATTGAAAGAGAAGAATATTTGGTGGGAAGACAGGGGAGGATCAGTGGCTGATGCTTAAGAGCTCTACCAAACCTATCCATAACAAACGTTGCATGAGCTCAAAGATAATAACTGAAAGAAGGGCTAGAGGTAGGCGGTGTACAAAATGGATTCCAGCTCTTCGAAATTACCTGAAGGAAATGAAAGTGCAGCACTTGCAGGCTTTATCGAAGATGGAGACAAATGTGTAACCAAACCATGGGCCTCTTTGTCTCGACGAGTTGATTTACATATACAAATAAGAAGACTAGTATTTGCATTTGTATCCGTTGATCAAATTAATAAAAGAAATTTATTTTAAATTCAACACCACCGTCAGAACCGCTTACGTATATCAACACGATACATACACACAACAATATCCAATCAAAAGTAACTTGCATAAGCAAACAACTGTCGCCAAACGCGTCAGTTAAAAGTTAATCTCGAAGATTTATCTCTCAGTCGACTCACTATTACTATAGTGGATTTACTAGATTTGTCGAGTGCGTTCAGCTACGACTGGCGCGCTCAGAAAATCTGCTATACCACTTCGCAGCAGCGACCGTAACCGTCCAACCGATTTAGCCAAAACGGAACGAACGAGAGAGGTGGTGGAGGAGAGCCGCGCAAACTTCCCGGTTAAGTGGTTTATTGTGCGCGTCTAATTTGATTTATCTCGTCTAACTGGGTTCTATTAATTTCGCAACTTTTGACGCCTCGGTTCCATCTGTTCGTCGTCGTCGACGTCGTCGCCTTGGGTGTTTTACCGCCGGTTTTGTGCGTTATTGATGCCCCGACGGGTTTTGCTGTTTGCCTTTCCGCGCGAACCGAACTACAAAGCAAATTAATTGCTCGGGTTTGCGTCAAACACGTACGCCGCGAATGGATTGTTTCTCTTTGTACCGCCAACGCGTGTAGGAGGGATTCTACGAATCATTCATAGACGCGACCGTATGCGAATCAATTAGATTTAGGCTTTCGGGAAAACTTTGACCAGTTTGGCAACATCGCATAACACGTAAACACGAGTTTGGATAATAACACAGTCTACAGTGATTTTGAAGGCTGAAAAAACACCATATTTTTGCTCTATCACGTCATTTCTTTTATAGTGCTCTTAGAAATGTTATTTTACGAATATACATACCTATGACATGAATATGTTTATTGTATGTTAGGCATGATTTTTAAATGAATTGATTTTTATGAAATTAAATGTGACTTTACAACACTGGATAAGATTTATCTACAGAGCAACATAGTTGGCACAGAAGCGTCAATACAGCGTTGTACCCTGCTTATGCGCAGTTTGGTTGAATTGGTCGTCCTGTTACCGTGTTCGCAGTTGTTGTGTGAACAATTCAAATAACTTTTGTTCTATCTGTGGTAGTTATGTTGTAGTAAAGCAAAGGCAAAGTGTAACTTGTTAATAACTGTTTGTTCCGCGTTGAAGCATTAAGAAACTGGCAAAAAGGTGTTCAAGGATTCAACAGAAAAAAAGTAATAATTAAATTGTGTATGGCGATCTTGACTCTGCTATTAGACCAATTTCTCATGGACCAGATGTACGGATAACTACCGCGCCAAAAGAATTAGAAAAGGTCATATCCTCAGAATCAGAGCAATCCAATTCTGACACAGATGACTCAGATTTTACACCAGATATCAGAGAGCCTGAAGGTTTCACCACAGTGAATTAAATGATTTAATCGGAGATTTTGCACGTTTCAAAGGATGCATCCGAATTGTTAGCGTTCAGACTTCGTGACAAACATTTACTGGCACCTGGGATCACATCAAGCTTTTAACGGGATCGCGAAAAAGAGGTATGTCAATATTTTACTAGTTATTACAGCAATATTCGTGATTCGAGTTTCAAAATTAGGAAATTTGCCGTATATAAAAGAATTCCGCTTGTTTATTTACTCAAGTAAACGTAGTTTAAATAGCATTTTATTGCACAATGGTAACGAACTGGCCTCGCTTCCCGTTGTACATTCGTTACATTTAAAATAAACGTATGAAAATTTAGGACTTCTTTTGAAGAAAATAAACTACTAAAAACATCAGTGGATGCTTTGTGAGAACCTTAAAATGTTATCCATGCTGTTACAAGAACAGGGGGGTTATACAAAATTTCCATGCTTTATTTGTGAGTGGGATAGTCGGGATAGAGATAGACATTGCACTGAAATAGAATGGCCCTTTAGAGCAAGCCTTACACCTGGTAACAAAAATGTATTAAGAGATAGCTTAGTTGACCCCAAAAAAGTTTTGCTGCCTCCTCTTCATATCAAACTTGGCTTGATGAAGCAGTTTGTTGAAGCCCTACACAAAAATGGACGGTGTCTTATATATTTGTTAGAGAAATTTCCAGTCATATCTGATGCCAAGATGAAAGAAGATGCAAAGACAAGGATTTTTAAAACACAATGACCCATGTCGAGAAAAACTCCTGGGTTTCATTTAAAGAAATAATTGATAAGTTTCTTTGGAACTTTAAGGACGAAAACTACGAAAGTATCGTTCAAAATATGTTACAATACTTTCATCGTCTAGGTTATAATATGGTTAAATATGCAAATGGAACGGCGATAAAAAATCAGATGGAGCATAACGATAATGGCGGACTACTGCTGGATATTAAAACGGGATATACCCTTAAAATACACAGCCGAATGTCCGCACAACGTAGCTTTCTGGCAAAAAGACGAAGATTTCACTCAAAAAAGTCTAAGTAAAGTTTTTTCGCTTTTTTTTAACTAAGTTTCCACTTTTCTACTGAATAAAAAAATAAATTATTTTAGAAATCGTTTTTTTCCTTTGATATTTGCAAAAAACCTTACATGATACAAATAAATGCATAGAATTTTTAAAATGTGCCTACAAAATAAAAACATCTGTCAAAACGTTTAATTTTGTAGAACTGTGTAATTTTTTACTATTTTTGGAGCTTCCTAATTATGAAGTTATGAAATAGGACTGAAACGAACTAAATTTTGAACGGTTGGGGCGATTACACAGCGCGTGCTGTTCCGATCCTTTCGGGGCAAACGCGGAACTCCACATGTCTTGGAGTACAGACAAATATTTAAAGTTTATTGAAGCCCTTCAATTAGAGGGAGGTTCATAGAACTCGAGGCATCTAACTTCAATTATCGAAATATTGCATACGATCGAATTTTAACCAAAGGGACATTTTTTTTTTGGCCAACAGCAACCATATAAATGTGTAAGAGACTTTATGCAACTAAGAAATAAAGAAAAAAATGAAATGAGCATGCAATTAAAATTGATTTTCGTATTTTATTCGACATTTTTATTAATTTTTTGGAAAACGTTTCTTTTCTCGCTATTACATAATAAATTGTTGATCGTTTGGTTTTCTTTCATTTTCCCGTAATATTTCCCAGCCGTATTTCGACGGATACGTTCCCGGACAACTTAATCATAAACTCGACGATAATAAACCACTCCGAAACCGGGGCCGTAATTAAAAAATCCAATTCCCAGGCGTGTCTCGCGCCGATTTTCCGGCAGCAACATTTTTCTCTTTCCCCGGATTGAATTACTCCCGTTGCCTCATCAACATTCGCCGACTTACCGGACCATAATAAATATTTAGTTTATTGGCTTTTAGCTTAATGATACTCGAACGTTCCACGGATTCGTCCATTTATCTTCGAATCTTGAAACATTAACTCCGTCAAGTGTTCTTCGTATCGCCCGAGTTTAAAGTATCCCGACGTCAGGTGCGTTGCAATTTTCGTTATGTTCCCCGCCCTCCTACCCCACCCACTCCACTCAAACCAAATTTCCGTCCGGAAAAAAAAAGAAATTTCGTTGTTTAAATTTTTCTGTAAATTGAATTAAAATATAAATGTTGCGAAATTGCTTTTTATATTCCACAATTTTGGAAATGAAGTATTAAAAATATATAAAGCTGATAATTAAATGTTCTATTAAGATTTCCAATTCCACAGGGAACTTATCCAAGTTAAATAATTAAATTAACAACTAACAACTCGTAAATTATTTTGCTTAAACTCATTGAGAAGCTAGTGAAGCAGTATATGAAATTTAATTAACAATTAACAACTAAAACTGTTAATTAATTTATATTAGTTGCAAATGCATTTACTAATAGACTTTGCTATAGTTGACTGTTTCCACAGTGAGTTGTACATTTAATAAAAGAACATATTCAGAAAAGAACGCGGAAAAAAAATGTTCAACATTTTGCAATAGCAACAAAGCAACCATAGTAACAAAAACATTATAAGTTTTTAAGATATTTTACATTTCCTGTCAAAAATTGCATGTTCTGGATAAAGTAACATGACACTTTTCTTTTCTAAATGAGGGGTCATTTTAGAACGGAAAATATTTTAATGTTATCCAAATAATGTCGATATATGCTTTGAAATTGTCATTTTTGACAGAAACCAATATAAATATCTAAAAAATCAACGGCGCGGTGAACGGCATTTGACTCACGAGCTTATTTGACACGAGCGGAGCGAGTACTTAATAAACGAGTGAGTTAAAAAGTTTACCGAACGTGTTGCATATAATACTTTTTTCTACTCCCGTAAAATACCTAATTATACACCGATCTAGCGTGCAGGAAGCATCACTTTACCACGTCAGTTTCGTTCCCCACGAATCCGAGCTGCTTCGTACATTTCCGGGATTTTACCGTATGGATTTGGGAGCAATCGGATGTGTTCGGAGATATTTCGCACTCTCTGAATTTTGACGTTTGTCAATTCTTTATTAAACACTCGCTCCGCTCGTGTCAAATAGACTCGTGAGTCAAATGCCGTTTACCGCACTTGTTGCATAATATACTCTTTCTACGACCGTTGGTTTTTGGGTACGTTTTCGCAAAACCAACACGAATACATTCACTGACTTGACCGTCAGAATTGACAAACGTCAAAATTCAAAGAGTGGGCAATATCTCCGAAAACATCCGATTGCTCCCATATCCGTGCGGTAAAATTCCGGAAGTGTCCGGCTCGGATCTGTGGGAAACGAAAGTGACGTGGTTAAGCGACGCTTCGCGCACGCTAGATCGGTGTGTAATTAGGTATTTTACAGACGGGAGTAGAAAAACATTTTTTGCGAAACTAAAATGAAAAGAAAATTTGGCAATATAAGAATAAAAACAAAGATATTTAGGGTACCAACTACAAATCCCGATTCTGATTAGAAAAATGTGTTGCGTGTTTGCGCAAAATATAAGGGTTCCTTTAGGATGAGAGATTATTGACGACACTAAGAGGCGACAATCCCTTCGGTGCCAGAATGGTTCAATATCAATATTGAAATTTAGAAATTCCGGTTTCAGTTCCGCCAGATATCCTGGACTATCCTACCAGCGCCGACATGCTGGTCGACGAGAATTTGAATGCCACCCTCAGGTGCGTCGCGACAGGCTCACCCGATCCCACCATCACCTGGAAAAGAGAAGACGGACAGATGATAAGGCTGTCAAATGGAACAGAAGGTAAATAAAGTCAAAGTTAACCAAAACCATATGCACCCATCAACAGTCAATATAGCTTACACTAAATAATTCTGCAACAACCGCAATTAGTGGCACGAAGTGCGATGCCATGGATGAAGTGCATTTTGTGTTTAGTTTCTGTTTACTTTTCATGATTATATATCAATACAGAAAATTGCAATTTTATTTTTGAGTTTCTGCGGGACTGAATTGAGAAAAATGTCTTTCGCTTTTGTATTTATTGACCCGTTCGATAATGCTTCTGTTTCCAACCGTTCATAAATTTCAAAGCTATAGATGTGACCGTTTATTTGCTCCAACAGCGAACGTTAATAAGTAGCTCTTTAAAAATAATTTTTACTTGCAATAGCTGCTTGTTATAATGAAACGCAGTTTACGACGCTCTGCCGGGATGGAAACGGATTGCTTTTGAAATTAAATGCATTTCACGAAACGGAATTTAAAATTGTACAACTTTTCAGTGAAAGAGTTAAGCACCTGAATGTAGGGTACGGCGCGCAAATCCAAATGGACTCTTGGTTTATTATATTTTGCAGTCAAAAGTTTGCTCATCTTGTGCGCGGAACTAAAACCTAGCGTAATCTTTATGGAATATACAGTTTTCCAGAAGGATTAAATGTTTAGCCTCGAAAATGCTTTGGTAGATCACAGGAAGTTTTAAATAAACCAATGTCGTAGATGGTCCTAATAACTGCCTGGTTTGTGGTTTTTAACATTTTAACATCATGGGGCAACTTTCACATTAATTGCTTTTTTTTTTATTTCGATGTTGGTTAAAACATATCACAATAATTTTACTTGTTCGCCGTAGTAGTAGCTATAAAGCTTTTTAAAATTAATTTAATGGAATTAATAAAAAACACCTTTGATTGGAATGGAACTTTTCCAAAATTACTATAACTCAAGAAAGGGGTGCCTATTGAACATTTTTTTTTTAATTTTCAGTATCTAGCACTCAAGGTGACACCTTAAACTTCACAAAAGTTAGAAGGGAACAAATGGGTCCATATCTTTGCATCGCTTCCAATGGGATACCACCAACTGTCAGCAAAAGGATATTTTTACATGTTCAGTGTAAGTATATCAAAATTAATTATACCGATTATACGTTTCGAAATTCGAAAAACTGACTCGCATTTTACTCTGTACCGCTTATGTATTGTTTGATATGTGGTCAGTGATGTTTTGAATGTAAGGAAGGACAACGGTGGCAAGTGTGGGATTGCTTGTGGTGAAGTGTATTTTGTAATGGCACGCTTAATATTTTTAATGTGGAAATTATTAGAGAGAACAGCAGAGGTAAAGTGTTTTAATTCTGGGTTCAGTGACTCGGGCTGAGATAGTTTTAGGGCTCTGTAAACAAGAGAGTTGAAGATTTTTAGGCAGGATGGTGATGTGACAATGCATTAAGGTATCGGGTATCGGTCTGTGTGCGTAGGTTTTATTTAAACACAATGACCCCATCTTAGGTCTGATTTGTTATTGATAAGAATATCTAAGAATATAGGTATTCTTGACCATGAAGCCAAATAAGAAAAGTGTGATCGACGTAGCGTTTCCTCATCAGCAATTTTTTAATGAAAGTAATTAAATTGAATAAATGCATTTTATTGTCGGTAAGTTGCAAAAAAAGTACTAATCGTTCTGCTGCCCGTCGTTTCAAATTTTTTAAAAATGGTTCGTAAGATTATTTGTGAAAAAATTAACAAAAAATTTGTCAAACATTTATAACAAATCTAATAACAAAAAATAATCAAATCTTAATTTAACATTTCTTTTTGTCGCAAGCGCTCTGTACTTTTTAATGTTGAAAATTAGTAAGAATATGTTTGAAGTTATTTCTGATAAGAATTCATCGTCAGCATTTTTTTTTTCACATAATACCTCACAGAAATTTTTAAAAGTTGACCTAATTAACGCGTAGTGGCAAGAAAACGTTTAACAAAATCTAAATACTTTAACGTGGATCCACTGTACTTAATTGCAATTACTGTGTCAAATGTCTATGTCTTGTATTTGAATTGAATTAATAACAACACACTTAATATCCTTCACTTGTCAAAAAAATATGTATTACAGAATTCATCACAGTACCAGTTATAATTAAGATATATATTTGCCGCTCTAAAAATGATTATAATTTATTCAATTAAAAACGAAAAAAAAAAACACCTTATATATGTGTCAATGTGCTTATACTGTGCGATCTTTTGTGGGCTTGAAAATTATGAAAATAAAATTTGATTCAATATGGTTCTATCACAGTTTTTTCAAAAATTAATTTGATATGTTTCTGTTGGATAATGATTTACTACTTTTTTTAATTGATCTAAGTTTTATTTCGTATTTTGTATTTTGAGATACAAACTTTTACGAACCAAATTTTTCCTTTAACGACGTCTAAAATGAAGCAAAGTTAAAACGCAACGAAATAATCCAACGCAGGGGGTATTAAACGGGAAGAAAATTCGATTTTCGAAACAAAGCATCTCGCGGAAAATTCGCCGGAGAGTATTGTTTACGATTTTGGTTTATTAACTCTGAGGGTCTAAAAATACGTATTTTTCAAGTGTCCGGAGAGAGAGATGGAGAGAGAGGGAGAGAGAGGCAAAGGAAAATTATTCCGCCCGCGCCCTTCAAAGAAATTAACCCGCAAATTAAAAGTTTACCAACAAAACAGGGTGAGATCTTAATTTGTTCGACCCCCGGGAAACGTCAATAATGAATCCGAAACTTAAACAAGTTATAAAATATTCAATATAACCCTCTATTTATTTATTTTTCGCGGCGCCACTTCCAGATAATGAATATTGAAGTTAAATTTTAAAAAGCACTCCGTAAAGAAAGTTTCATTGTTTACTTTTCAATATGCTAATGCGGTTTTTACGACGGATTTTCCATTATTGTCGTCTCGTATGCCATCTTAGGAACGAATTTGTGCCTCGTGGTTTTACACTGCGGAATACAAAGAGCGGTTTTATGCGCATCAAACGTTATAAATATTATTATGACAACAAACCTGCGCCGTTTTTATTGCCCAAGTTTCCAACGACCCTGGTGCTAAAACGATAGTGAAGAAAAGTTGCAATTTTCCTCGCACTTGGGAAATACCCTATACATTAAAAAGGAAATTGAATATTTTTGTTTTTTTGTTAATATATTTTAAGTTAAGATAAGAATTCGTCGTCAGCATTTTTTTTTTCATATAATCCCTCACAGAAATTTTTTAAAGTTGACCCAATTAACGCGTAGTGGCAAGAAAACGTTTATCAAAATCTATGGAAAAGTTAATATTTTACTTATTTGGTAAATACAAAAAAACATGTATTACAGAATTCATCACAGTACCAGTTATAATTAAAAAATATATATATTTGCTGCTCTAAAAATGATTATAATTTATTCAATTAAAAACGAAAAAAAAACACCCTATATATGTGTCAATGTGCTTATACTATACGATCTTTTGTGGGCTTGAAAATTATGAAAATAAAATTTGATTCAATATGGTTCTATCACAGTTTTTTCAAAAATAATAAAACAGTGATGTCAGGATACCGCTAATATAAGTAACCACTAAAAATTAACCATAATATACATGAATAAGTGTCACTTTACAGAAATTAATGAGCTTTAAAGTGCATTCTGCAAGGAACTTTACAGGTGTTATAGTATGTCTTAAAATATATCGTGTTGGCTTTTGCCGGCATTTATCAAAGTTATCTGCCGATGCCAATAAATTGCGGACCAGTAGGTATCAAAGGACGCGCGGCGGTGCCTTGTCACTGAAGTATGAAAAAAATATTAAAATAAATAAGTAATACAATCCTTCCGTCAAAAGTCAACATAATATACTTTGAGATTCACTATACATAGCTGTAAAACAGTAATTGCTTTTTCGATAAAAAGAAATGTTTTTCTTCAAGTGATAAATGTGCTACATCAACTTATAATTTAACAATTTAGTGGTTCCACCAAAACAAGTCTTGATAACATCATATATTTTTAGTTCCACCATCGATATGGATACAGTATCAACTAATCGGTGGTTATGACGGCCAGAAAATCACATTGGAGTGCCACTCGCAGGCGTTTCCGAAGTCGATCAACTACTGGACCAAAGATTCGGGTGAAATTATCCCCCACAGTAAATACGAGAAGTGTTCCAGTTGCTGAATCATCCAACACATCTTTTCAGGTGGAAAATATGTTCCGGAGATCATCGGAGACAACTACAAAGTGCACATGAAGCTCACCATAAATTATCTGGGACCGGACGACTACGGAATTTACAAGTGCGTTTCGAAGAATTCCCTGGGAGACATGGAAGGCTCGGTTAACGTATACAGTTAGTATTCTCGTCCAATTATACATATTTTTCCGTTAGATACTTAAGAATGTTAAGATGAAAATAACACCAACCAATCACAAACGGAAAATATATAATTACTTTACAACTAATCTACTAATTAACCAGTACTTACCAAAACTTTTTGCAAAATAATTTGTTTATATTGATAAAAGTTGAATTTGGCAATGTTATATTCAAAAGTAGATTAAAAAGTTTTTAATAAATACTTAAAATAAAATTTATTTACCTGTATTTTGAAATGCGGTATTTCAAAAGACTCTGGCATGAAAAAACTTAAGCAATATATATAAAATCTAACATAACCTTAATATTGAGATTTTTATTAAAACTTTTGAGGAATTCCTGTTAACAGCTCTGTAAGCATCTTTTTCGTCCCAGGTCCACATTCAAGCCACCTTATCTTTAAAATATGAATTATCAACGCTCGATTTTTCTTTTTCGATTTGTTCTCTGTCATGAAATATTCACTTATCTTGTTACAATATTTCCCAATTTTTGAATAAACAATTCTATAAACATTCTAATTCTGCAGTAACATTTTTCATATCAAAATTTCTCAAATATTTTTTTTTTCAGAAATTCCTCATCCAAACATTGTAATACCAGTGAGGAACAAAAGTGAGTATTAATTGGGTATCTCTAATTTTTATTTTTATGGATTATGTTTTTTCCAAAAGCTGGATCGCAATTCCCTCATCTCCAGGTTCTTGCAGTCTTTCAATTTTTGCATCCGTTATTTACTATCTTATCTACTATCTAAAAATCTCCAAAAAAATGAACTTGCAAATGCATTTTCCAGATATTTACATTTTTTAACAAACTTGACGAAACTTATTGAATTTTAATAAAATGGTTATCTATCAAAGTTCGTGCAGCAGTTGCCATTATTTTCATTGAAAAATACAAACCCAAAATATCTGACAAAATTGCATCGTCTCTACTAAGCTTTAAAGGAAGAAAAAATTCGAAAATAAATGAAAATGGCATCCTATTGTTTTTAAAAGGTTCTTCAATCTACATAAACAGAAAATCCTTATTTCCAAATCGTAATATTTAAATTTCAACATTGTTAAATCCCCCTTTTATTTCCCTAGACCTTAGACTTTATATCAATTATTGAAAGGTGAAAAAAATATGTCACCGCGATGTTTCCTCCCCGTCAGGAACCTTTGCGATTATCCCCCGTTCCCTCTTCGCCCCGCATTCAGTCATAAATCCGAATAACATACATTTTTATGAGTTTCAGGCGCAACGCACGAGAAAGCAACCGATTTGACGTATTCGATTCGGAATGCCGGTCCCGGCAAGGGTGAGGAATTTGAAAAATGCCGTCTCCCAATTCTCATGGCTTTGTGTTGTATTACAGACGAATCGTCAGAGTTGCATTCAAAGGAACTTGAATACCACAGCAGTGGCCGTCGTTTCCGCACCATTTGGCATCGGGACATCGCCACGGGAACTCTAGGGCTAAGCTTATTTGTACATTTATCGTTTACGCTGTAAATTGTTTAAATTATATATCTGTATATGACTTATAAAGTTTTCTGTGTAATAAATAACGTTAGGTATATGATTTGGCAACTAAATCTCTGGTCCGGAACGTTAAATCCAGAACATTTCAAATCAAATGAATTGTGTACAGAGTTTCCATCAATTTAAATGAAAAATGAAATGAATTGACTACCTCCCAATTTTACGGAGCAGCATAACATTGTTCTACTTCTTTTGGGATTGTTTTGCTTTGGTTTTTGAAATAAAACCATTCCAATTCGATACTAGTCCTGTGTAAGAATCTTTGAATTTTTTCATGATGGAAATACAAAATACAGTACTCATAAAAATAGAAAGAATACCGCTGTTCTGCACCCGTTGCCCCACGGATTAGATCTAAAAACGTCATAATTAAACCGGCATAGACGCGCACATCGTTAACCATCATCAGCAGATGATGGAAAGTTACACTTTACAAACAGTTAAGAACTATGTATTACCACCGCTACCAATGGAGAGCTTTTAATTATTTTCAAACATATTTCGATTTTATTTTACAGAGAAAATTGTTCTGTTGCAGTTCTCATTTCTCAGTTCTCACGCCAACTTGACGAAAATGTAACCAATTACAATTTTATTGCAAAGAGAATGCTAAGTAAAGGAGCCCATTCAGAAGTGTAAGAGGACGGACAACTTGGTCGCACTCATTAGTCTAGTCTGAAATCTTTGTTGGGTTACTTGTTGCGATCACCAGTCTAACACTCTATAAAAAATAAAACCCGACAAATGTAGCAATTAATAAATTAATGGAAAGGCTTTAGCAAATTCATATCTCACATGCAAAAGAACATTTAACATACGTTTTACGTTTAAACGCTTTTCATGTTTGTTGCGTCTAAAATTGAAGGTTTTCTTGCTTATTTTCAGAAATAAAAAGTTGACGATAAGTGGAATTGTAGAGACATATTAATTTTGCATAGAAGAAGTCCCTTCAATCGATAACTTTTTTTAATTTAAGTTATCTTGTTCAAAAATCCATAATTAGGCTTTGTAGCTGCAGTCGACTTTCTAGTTATTCTAATATGTGCGATAATAAATTCTTAACCAGCTGCATGGTGAAACGGTTATACGAAAATTTGGAGAGGGGGACAGAATAATCACAAGCAATTTAGTTTCAATTAAAAAAAATGTATGTTTAGTACCCGTCCAGAATTAATTTAATTATTTTATGTTTGCATTTTGCGATCTTTCTTGTAAACAAAAAGACTTTTGGAACATAAAAAAATAAAATCATAACAACAACTTTAGGTAGAAAAAAATCATTCTATAGAAAATGTAAAGCTCACTGCAGTAGCTTAAATACTGATCAGAAATGTTGTAAAATTTTCAATAAACATGCTATCAAATCCATACAAAGGTATAATCATTCTATAGAAAATGTAAAACCCACTGCAGTAGCTTAAAGACTGATCTGAAATTTTGTAAAATTTTCAATAAACATGCTCTCAAATCCATACAAAAGGTATAATGTTACGACCGAGAACTTTCCTTACATATATTGATAATCACAGCGATTAGGATTCTAAGGCCTGGGCGGAAGTGCCATGACTAAAGAATCGTTACTTTAGAGATCAATAAAAGGAAAAGTCTCCCGGAAAGTAAATAGAAGTAGGGATAGCAATTTTGGCGCCGGAATTAATGGAAATTCCGTGGGTCCGTTGTTTTCCCAAAATCTCAGCCGGGGGTCAAGAGCTACGATATAAAAAGTTACCCGATCGAGTAAATGTGGCTAAATTGACTTTTAATGTGTTCTGCGGCAAGAGCTTTTAAGTATAATTGTTTTTTTTTCGCTGATTTTTTTCGGGGTTTGTAAGTTATAAACTTGATTTACGAGCGGCGAGGGCGAAATAAAAGATTTCATTCAACGGTAATCCTTATCAACGCAATGAAAGTCAGTCAACATGTAAGACAGCAAGAGTTTGCCACAAGAGAAACAGAAAGAGACAGTTTAAAGAGACAAAATAATAGTAATTAATGCTTTATTGTATCGCAGAAAGATCTAATGAGCCACGACTATATTTAACTCTGGGATCGCCCTAATTTCATGAATACAGTAAAGTAAACATGATGTTGGATGGATAGCCATTAATGAACACCAGTGTACGTCTAATAGCACGATTGGTGTAAAAATATTAACTTAGACGGCAAGGTGACAATCTAAGCTAGCACGAAATATTAAAAACAATAAGGGTTATAGGTAGTAAAAGTATCCAGACGTAAAGAAAAAACAATTAGTTACAATCGGCGTTCCATATTGTCGAGCGGAAACGTCAAACAAATTGTCAGATGTCAGTTACTAAATCACCATTATTGCCAATTACCAAGGCAACCTGAAATACTAAATTCACCACAAGTGCAGTCCTCTAGAAAAGAATTGAATTGTGTAACCTATCAAAGAAAGCAAATAGAAAAAATTGATAAAATTACATTAAACAGTATTTAAATTTAGCAGCACACTACAGACTGATAATATCAAAAAATCCTGGAAGTTTATGCTTCGCCGTATGGTTTTGGTGAAGAATATAGGTATTGATATTGCTTAATAGCTCGACATCTTTCTTTTGGTTGAGTCTATTCCCACAACCGTTAATATAACACGTCTCTAAAAACTTGCGTTTAAAGAGGTTTTTTTGTACTGGTATCTGTTATTAATTAATAATTTTTTTAACAACATCAAATTCTTATATAGCAAATCTTTGTACTTGGATTAGCAAAAGCTAAAATAGTATTAATATTTTGTTTCTTTGGGTGATAACATGTAAAAAGGATGTATCTATGAGAACTAGTGCTCTCTCTATACCAATCCAGGATGACCTAAATTTAGTTGTTGCTCTTATTGCACACACAATATTTGTTGGATAATTACACCCTTGGTCAAATTACGTCCCATTACTTATGAAATTTAGAGGACTCATTTACTGAATTGTTCTTTCCTTATCTTGAGTGAATGACCACGCAGACGTTCATCGTTACTCAACTTACCCAAATTCACATGAAACTTATCAAATGGAAACTAGCTCCGGGCAAGTAAGTTATAATACGTGTTTGTAAATTCACGTGAGGCGGATCAGAAGAGAATTGGCCATAAGTAAGCCTGCGTACTTTGGTAAGATCCCCTCGTAGCCGAAGTTGACTTTACATTGAGATGTTGACTATTTTGGGCGTTTTCTAGACTGCAGTGTCAATCGTGTAGCGGTTCGCTCTAGTCTTTCCAAAATATCATGGTCACAGACTCCAGACTGGAGAGCGCAATTGTAGTATTGGGCGGATGTAGAAAAAGAATGCAAAGGACTGGAATTTTTAAAATCTCCATTTAACAAAAATAAGACGGAATTTGGATTTGGGGTAGAAATCATCTGAGGCGTCATTTTCAAGTCACTCTATTGGATTTAACTACCCGAACCATTAATATATTTTTTGTAATTTCTGAATTATATTCATTTTCTGTCATCTATACACAATTAAATAATCTGGAGAAACAAATTAATGGATTCTAATAAACTCCACTTACTCTGTATTCTGTATTGTTATTAAATATTGAGAAATTGCTTACAGCTTCAAATATGGAACATTTTTCTGTTAGAGTTATGGCAATTTTCTGGAATTCACGGCTGGGACTTTCGGGATTGAGAGCCTTATTAGCAGGCCCAGCAAATTATCAAAACTGTTTAAGTGGGTTTTTTGTGACGGGTGTTAAAAATTCATTGGTCGGCAATTTTATTAAATGGCCGGTGCGTGTCGCAAACCGTTCCCCAAGTCTGGAAATCTCCGGGTGTCACACGAAATAATATTAAAATTTTACGACACGGAGCGAGAGAATTTTGTTGCCCTTACGGAAAGTAAAGTTATGTAAAATGTGGCATGGGAGGTTCATAACAAATTTTATTGCGCGATGAATAATTTAGTGGGGACTCAAAACGTATCGATTTGGACGGCGCCAGAATTTATTTTAATATCGGGGGCTCGCGTATAGAACTCGTTCTTCGGGATTTTGAGTGTTTTTTTATTAATATTTGAAACGGCAGGTTGGAAATTAAATTCCTTAGGTTAGGGGCTGCTTGTTTCAAGGGTCCCTATAGAGAATTAAAGCGCGAAATTTCGATTTTTATGCTTGTGAAGTCAACGAACGGGCTGTCCTAATTTAGGGTCACAAAACTTCGAATTGCTGATACTGTCGAGTGATTTTAAAAACGATTTTAATTCAATTTGTCGACGCGTTCATCTTCGCCACCCACGGTCGCGAAACACTTCACACATTTCCGGTACTTTAGTTATGGGTGTGTTCTTCTAGATTTTTCTGCGTTGAGTATTGACACTGTTTTGCCTATTGATATGGATATCAATTAAGATAACCCAGAAAATGCCTGCTGGTGGCAAGTAGAGTGGGGAGAGGGATTTAATTGCATTATAAACGACCCAATCCCAAATGTGCCTCGCTAGTTCACTATTCCACAATGACGTTTCAGAACCGTACTTCGGTACTTCGTGCATACAAATCGTGAAAGCTGGCGGATTTTTGTAGTGTTTCATCGGTAACATTCTCGATTATTATTAGTCCATGCTGTGAAACATTAATTTCTTACTTTAAAATGTTTATTATAAATATAAATGAAATATTAAATTTAGCTATAAAACAATGTTAGAATATTAAAAATATATATATTCTGCATGAAAATAATCACTATCGTCACTGGACTCGTCCCCCACATTAATAATTAAATCTGGCACTAGTCGATGATTAATTCGGTATTTTTTTCCGCTTGTGCAGAACAGTAGCTGACGTTGTCGATCATCGGAAGCAGTTTTTCAGAAAACCATTTTTGAAAGATGTCTGCTGTTATGTTCTCGTGGTAATGCTTATTTGACATCGTATGCAGAAAGCAACAAAGCGTTATCTACCCAACCAGCTTCAAAGCCCGCATGTACTAAAATAATTCGTTTGCCCCTCGAAACAGTCCATCCTTTCTTGACGGAATCGTGGCCAAACCACGTCTCATCAAAAT